GGAGGGCTTTACCTTAGCTAATACATACCCATAGAGTGCCTTTTTTCACGGGATATGCTGCCTTAAGATAGCTGTAGAGATTTTCCTTGATCTTTCACGGTGGTTGTTCAAGCTTGTTCTTCACTAGGGACTGGATTGAGTACTTAGACAAAATTGTTGAATTTTAAATAAGAGACAGTTCTCAATTTTCATTTAACACCTCGCTAGAGGTCACGGACTGGTAAAAACCAACATGTTAATAAACTAGATATGTTATAGAAAATGAATGAATAAATTTTATAATTTTCTGTAACTTATGTTTCAGTTTTATACCCTCTTACTAACTGTGTTGTCATTTTTTTTTTCTAGATGTATCTGAAAAGAAAGTGCCAAATCAAAATCTTGCAGCTTCAATTGTCAAAAATCCAACATCTACACAACTGCTTGGTGCTTCTGGTGGTTCTTAAGATGGTGGCGGCTTAACTCTGCCCGTATTTGGATGCACACCAATTGTGTTACCTATCATTGTGTTCTATTTATTGGCCTTTTTCTGGTCTTGTTCATCTTCGCCCGAGGGTTTATATATGTTCTCGTCTTTAATTGAAAAGTTGGTATCTTGAAATTGGCAATGATAATTATTGAATAGAGAACAGGGACTTTATCCAAATAATAGACACCACCAATGTGATTTATGAATAAAAAATGCATTGTTGGTTGGTGGGCATGTACTATGCATGGATATGATCAATGTGAAAGGGCACACTATGGAAATGTCGTAAATAGGTTCAAGTGAAATTTGTAATGAATTGGGCAAAATCACCATAAATAAATTAAAGGGTTAATAACTATTAACAAATATCAATTTATTCTATTTATTTATGAATTTGTACATATAAATTTTTTCAATTAAGAAAATTATACAAATATATTATTTTTTATATGTGATTTGAAAAGGGTATACAAAGATAAAAGTGATAAATTTTTATAATTAAAACAATTAAATTATACGAATTCATAAATAAAGCGAGTAAAATGGATATTTACTAAGAGCTTAGTGTAAGTAAAAGTGCTGCTATTAGCATTCCATGAATTATTTTGAACCCCTCAATTTTTAATTTTTTTTATTTATTACAATAATAATCTCAAAAAAAATTACTACAAAGGACATTATTAATATTGGGACAACTCATTCACAATTAAACCTACACACCCACTACATGATGAATTAGGGTTTATGAGAGCACCTACTTAATTATATCACCACACATTCAACTTCCCCAAATCCCATCTTCAAAACTTACCTACCTTCAAAACCTTGAAAACTCTTTGGTGGCAATATTCCGACGGTAACGGTGACAACCATTTGATTACCTAAACTTCTCCGGCAATAGTGGAAGTTTTTCTAGCAACCACAACTCTATAAAACGAGAGGAGTACAACAATAAAAGCTTAAAGGAGGTTCATAACTTTGATGTTGTTATTAGCTCAGAAGAGGTTGATCTTCTAAGGGTAAGTTTCTTTAAAAAAATGGCAGAAATATTAAAATCTGTTCGTTATTTTTTTCAAGACTGAACTCCCGAACATATGATCAAAATTCAAGAACACAAGCCCGAACAATGTTTATTTGTTCAAGAACCGGTAACTAAACATTTATTATTCGGATCTCCCAGAAGTTTTAATTTTTCCAAGTTCGGGAATACAGGACCGAACATTATTGATTTGTTCAGAAATACATTCCCAAACATAGTTTATTTGTTCAGGAATATAGGTCCGAACATGGAAATTTGTTAACAATTTGAATGGTTAAAATTCTTAAAACTTCCTAAGTACTAATCACAAAATAACAGCAGTAGGCATGAGAGAGAGAGAAAGGAAGAGGTAGAAAACCACGCCAGAGATCTATCTTTCTGGCCATAATCAGCTGAGAGAAAGAGACATAGCATACCAGAGTCACACAGTTACACTTCTTCTTGTTTTTCTTGTTCGTGGGCTTGAAAATGATGAGGTTTTGTTAAGGTTTTTTTGGAATAGATTTTTTTTTTTTTTGGAGTGTGGGGGTGTGTATTTAATTGGGTGGAATGCTTAAGGATAATTTTGGTATTATTTTGAGGGGTCCAAAAAAATTTTTAATGTTTCAAAAATTACAAAAAAGGGTCTAAATTAATTCTTGGGGGTGCTACTAGTACCACTCGTAGGTAACTCTAAATAAAATAAAGAAAAGACAACTCTTATTCTTAAGTAAGAATAATATTAGAGATCTCAAATATTTTATTAAATATCTCACATAAATATAAAATCCACATAAGACTCACATAATATAAATTTTACACATAATGTGAATTATTTAATAAAACATTTATAACCTAATATTTTTCTTCAAGCAAACGTTGACCTGGCGCCAAGTCGGCTCACCAAAATCTTTGCCTCCACGTGTCAAAATATTGGCCATGTAAAGAGTTAATGAAACCTTATGCCATACTGGCCCACCAAAATATTTTCCTCCCAGGTGTCAAAATAATGGCCGTGGAAAGATTTCAAAAACAAATGAATATGCCATATCATAGTAAATATCTGTTTTCTTTTGTCCACCCAAAAAAATCTGTTTTCTTTAAAAATATAAAAAAGCTTAAAATAATAATTGGTTCTCATTATGCATCTGTCATTAAATTATGATAGAATTTTAAAATAGAAAAATTTAAGTCATAATTTAAGTGTTGTGAGTGTTTTAAAATAAGAAGGTAAAAAATATAAAATAATTTTTTAAACTCAAAATGTGTGGACGAAACATAAATTTTGATTGATTTGAAATTAAAAAAAAAATTATAATTTATATAGAAATTAATACACATCGAATAAGATTTTTTAACTCCAAATCAAAAAAATTAAAAAGTCAAAAAAAACTAAATTCATCATTTTCCTAAACATGTACAGCTTGAAATATCTGTCCTTTACCCTGAGGTTACATCTTTTCTTTTAAGTAAGGTTACTTCATCCCCCAAAACCACCAAAAACAATAAACCAAACACCCACTACCACAAGTCCACCCCTGGAAAAGAAAGTTGAAAAACATTCAAACCACTTGGGAGCACAAAGAAGATTCAAAGAGAGCACAGGGAAAAGAAATCCTACAACACCATTGATAAGGTCATCATACAAACAAAGAACAAGCTCAAGAGCAAAAGAACTCAAAGATCAGAAGAAGAAAAAAGAACTGATCAAAAAGAACACAAAAACAAGAAAATCTTTTGGAAATCGCATGTCGTCTGAGAATATTGATGGGTGAGTTTCTTCATGCTTTATCTTTATTTTAGTACTAAAAAGACATGTATAACTAGGATTTGTAGTGCAGAATTGAAAGCACTTTGAAAAAGCTCAAAACACAAGCTTGGTATCTATTTTCGGATAGTTCTTACAGATGATATAAAGTAGAAACCAAAGCATCCCTCCCCGTTTTTGGATAATTATTATTTTTTTATAAATTATTTAAGCTATTTCTTTCTCATACGGTATAAGCAGAAACTGTACTAAAGAAATTGTACTAAACGCTCATGACATAAATTTTCAAAAAAAAAAAAAAAGTGTAAGCAGCTCAATAAGTTGACCGAACAAGGCCATAATCAGAGTCTTTTATAACCCATGGATGGTTTTGAGAACAGGAGATTGAGAAAGAGGCAAAATGGTTCAGACTCCATAGAGGAGAGACTGCTCATGTGGAAGAACTATCACAGCCAAATCCAAATTGATTCCACCAAGGAAATCGGACTCAACCGGAGAAGAAAGGGTCCTTCCAAGGGATTGAAAAGGGGTTGTATGCAAGGGAAAGGCGGGACAGAGAATCCGGGCTGCATGTATAGAGGAGTTAGGCAGAGAACTTGGGGGAAATGGGTTGCAGAGATTCGTGAACCCATTTATGATAGCTGTCAACTGAGGAAGAAGGCGAATCGACTCTGGCTTGGGACTTTTTCTGCATCTGTTGATGCTGCTCATGCTTATGATGAGGCTGCAATGGCTATGTATGGCTCTGCTGCTATACTCAATTTTCCCAACTACCATAAAATGCCGTTGGACTTTTGTAATGATCAATTGTATCTGATTACAGAGGAACCAAAGGTTAGTCAGAGTGAGCATTTCAATAGCATTGAAGTAGTGTCACCGACAAAAAGTGAAGTAGAGAAAGAAAAAATTGCAGAAGCTAGCTATTCATGTAGTGTTAGTGACTACAATCACAAAGATGATGGCTTGAAAGACTTGAAAGAATTGAAAAAAGAAACAGAAACAACAAACCAACCTTTTGGGGATATTAGCAGTGATGACTTTGTGTTCAGACAAGATCAATTTGGCTCTTTTGATGAGCCTTTGGGGTACCAAGGTCAACTTGATTCCTTGGAGACCTTGTTAATGGAAGATGAAATTGAGATTCAGTCTCCTGGGCCAACTGACACGGATAACAATGAGTTATTGAGTGATGGTCATTTCCTGAATCGAACACAATCCAATCTTTATCACCTTTTGGAGAAGGCAGAGCAAAGCGAATACATGGGTAATTTACAGCTTCAAAAGTATGAAACACAAAATTACGAGTATAATTATGATACGATAACAGAAGAAATGTTTGATTTCAAGCCTTCCGGAACTTCTGTTACTCATAACCCTGGATTACAGCAAGAGGGAAACTATGATACCGGTTAATATGGGTTTTCTAGTAAGAACCTGTCACAATGGGAAAGGCCTCACGGTGTCGTGTGTGAGTTGTGTGTGAGTTGCATAAAGCGGACACCAAGCTGCCGGGAAATTCAGAGGGTACAGAAAACTACGTACACTAGAACCTCATCATGTAGCAAAGTCGAAAAGCTGCACATTTTCATTTGTTTTTCATGAAGTAAGAGAATTTCAGTCTAAGGTTTTTCCATTTGTAAATTATGGTTTTATCAATGTAATTTTCCAATTTTGGTTGGCTGTATCTCTTTACTTGCTGAGAAGATCAGATGTACAAAAAATAACAGGAGCTAGAATATGTGAACTTTTGAATTCCAATCAAATTATGCTTTAATCTGATTGTATAAACAAGACTATGAATCATATCAACAAATATGTTTACATTAGGCATGCAGTTACAACTCCAGAATCCACACCATTCATTCATAATGCAATCCAAATTGTATCCTCCACTTGTATCTAAATAGAGCTCCAGCAAGTCTACAACCCTGTGGCAGTTCTACTGAATGAGAAGTCTGGAAAGCGAAACATCTTGCCTCTGTAACCGTTACATCCCCTGTTGTCTTCATGGAATATTTCATTGTCTGTATGTTTTCCACACTAGTAATAACTAATTTGCTGCCAACTGAAAGCCATTCTCACCAGTAAAATTTACTGGCTCCAAGAAAGAATTTGGCCAGAGAAATTGCATCCCAAAATAAACTTCTGTCTCTGGTGTTGATGTATGTCAGTGGTGTGATCTGAATAGTATATGGACTGTTTGTTGTGGCATGGCCCGCGAATTGATTGAATTCATCATTATGCACGGGGGGAAAATATGGAACTTGGAACTTATGCACGAGCTCAGGCATTTTCCTGCTCTATCTCAGACCAAACCAATTTCCAAGGTCCGCTTTTCGTTCCTAATCTGGGATTCGGAAAAGATAAACAGAAGAAACACTTTTGCCATTTAGTAAGGTCAGATGCATTATGTTAAAAGCATCCAGGTTTAGGGCTAAATTTTCAACCCAAAAACTAAACCAATCAACTTAGACATTCAGACATGAAAAACTAAAGAAAAATCATTAGCTGAGGGAAAACCAATCCTTTTTTTAGGGCCATATCACATCTAAATGTGGGTGATCATCACAAAGGCCTAGCCCTATATGTTCTTAGAGCCCTATTGCACCATCAAATGAGCTAACAATCCAATGATATGATCCTTTTTAATTTAAAAAGAATGAAAATTAGAAGGATTTTACCTCCAGATTCCTGCTGCAACACGCAAAGTCATAAACAGAAACAACCCTGCCCAGATTCCAGCAAGACCAAATACCGGGGCAGCAACAAGTATGAACACCGAGGAGACAATTCCAACCAGCACCTGCTTAACCCACATAATAAGCTGTGGAAGAAATAGATAAAGTGAAATAATGGAAGTATTTTATACATAGGCAGAAACAAGTACCATTGAGTATGCTGCATATTCAAAGTCTGAAACTCCGTAGTAGAGCCCATCAAGAACAAAAGCAAGAGCATTAATTGGCTGAGATCCAGCAACAAACTGCCAACAATAACAATCCCATATTTCATTACTAGTAGCATGTCTAACTTGCGACAAGCTACAGGTATCGAAAATAGTGATGCAAATCCCAAAATATAATTACAGAAATTAATGCATTCAATAGCAAGAACACACAAAGAAGGAAAACACTGGTTTTTCACTGGTAGATCCCTGTGAGATTCTATCTAGAAGACACAAAGATCTTCAATAAAGGAAGACCAAACCAAGTAGTTTCTTACCAAGATACCAGACCGTGCAATTTGCAGAACTTCTAAATCGGTGCTAAATAAGTAAGAGAGTGACACGAACCCAAGGAACAAGGTAACAGCCAAGGCAACTCCTGCTATTAAACCAACCTGATGGATTCAAATGAAAGTAAAAATACATGGAAGCCAAGATACCATGACAAATAACACACAAGGTAGATAAAGAGCTAACCAGTAAAACTTTGTAAACCAATTGGCGTGCTTGACCATAATCTCCTCGGGAGTAACGACCGGCAAGAAGAGCCTGTGAGAAAAACATTGAAACAGTGGTGGAAGAAAAAGAAAAACCATTAACACATTCGGCATATTTGAACATATACGAGTGATAATGACCCAAAAGAATAGATGTGGAAGCAGCACAAATACTGCCTGGACCTTATGAGATGGGTTTAAAACTTTTAAACATAAATGCTCTTCCATCCAAGCCAGTTTTAACTGATTGTGAAACAAAAGTGTCATATGTCACTAGATGATAAAATGCAATCATAGAACTTGAAGCTCAATTCCTTGAATGGCTCTTCTAGCCTAGATTTCAAGTTGTGAAATAACCAAGAGAACCCCTCAAACCGTTAGACCAAGCAATTTGATTGATGGCTCATCTTCATCATATAGCCAACGTTTAGTATTCAAATGCTCTATCAAAGGCCAATAGGAGATGCTATGAAACCTTTCAGAAGTTTCTTTTGGCCATTCTAGTTTGACAAATTTGATGAATATGAATATGAAATAACATAATGCTTAGACAGCATAAATTGTGTACCTGGCCAGCCAGCGCTATAGCATCAGTAAGTAAAGATACAGCCAACCAAACTTGTAAACAGATCTGATGACCAGCCATAGGTATGGGGCCCTCTGTCGCTGCCAGTGATGTAGCTAGTGTCATGATCACAAGCACCGCTAAAGTTCTGCCAATTAGAAGCCCACCTGCAAAACGAGGTCAGCAGATTCCATACTTAAGACAAAAGTTGTATCTTAAATAACTTATGGCATCACAAATAATCTACTGGTACAGATCCTGTGGCATTAAAAAAAATCTAGTTTTACCATCAGCCTTACAGGCCCAGCGGTATTTGGTTAGTTTCTCAACCTCATGTCAAGGGCTCAAGCCCCCTTAATGTCTTGTTCACCCAAAAGAAAGGGGGGGAAACTAATAAGAAACAAATGAAAGAAAAGATTGAAGAGGATATTGTAGCTCTTGTTACACCAACATATATAGATCAGCAGTGATCATGGTGTTCACATATGTGATAGGCACATTGTGTTTCAAACTAACAACCGCATTTGAGTTGGGAACAATAATGACTCAACATATAGACATCAAAAACCTAAGACAACGTTTCTTTGGACTCGTTGAAGCAGAAAACATGCTAAAACAAAGCATATGCAGTAATCACACCATTGCAAGGATTCATGATGTGATAAACTAAGTTGATGGCCTTGTTAAACGTAATAGACATTTTGGTAACTCTTGCATGCCAAAGCAGTGCTCATACCCCTTGTCTATCAGTGTTTGGCCATAAACTTGTTATCAAGTTTAATCTTTTTTCTAATCTTTTCTGCCACGTTATGAACTTCAGTCAGTTGACCTTTACCGTAGTTTTAGCAATTGCCTGTTTTAGTCAGTAATGGCAGTTCATATTATTATGCAAAGAGCTAGAGGAATAGAAAAAGTCAATTGTCAACTCCACCATCATATACTAAGGTTTCAAGATACATACCAGATTTTAGATACCGAGCAACTCTTCCCCCATCAATGTTTGGAGAAACAAGTAATACTTTCTCATTCAATTTCCACAGAAGGATAAAAGCAATCAAATATCTGATGTGAAATAATACAAGAAAACCCATGAGGAGAAGAAAAATTACTCAAAAGTCATAGAATTCTACAAATATTGAGTATATGCATTAGTTTTACCACATCATTGACGTACTCAGAAATCATAGTAGCAATTGCAGCACCACTAATGCCAAAACCGAAGAGAAAGATCAAAATTGGATCTAAAATTGCATTCAATAAGTTGCCAGCAACTGAAAATCCAGAGTAGGCATGTGTCATAGACTAACCAAGTAGATTATTAACATGTAACTTTTGGTAGAGAATCAAATCAATAAGTAGATTATTAACATGTTGTAATACTTGCCAACGGCATACAAAGGCGTCTTCGTATCTTTAAATCCTCGAAAAGTGCCTTGTGCAGCAAGTGCAATTACAATTGGTGGAGCACCAAAGGCCCTCAGGGTAAGGAATTGCTCAGCTGGTATACGCATTGGCGAATCCTGCAACATAACAAGCCTCAATGAACACACATGAATAGTCTTCAATCACCAAAAAACATGTATAAAATTGCAATTCCAAATCAAGGACAATATTTAGAAGGCATGATGCCACCTATGGTAATACAAAATTTAGCTCTATGGAGCTTTGTCCCTTTAAATTGTCATAGAAAGTAATAGAGCGATGATATCTAGTGTGTTCGTGTGAGCATATCTGTTCTTAAACCTCATGCAAAGTAACTTTTGTAAAGGATAAATTATAATTCCACATCACTTTATAGGATTATGATAGTTACAGTAAAAAACTTAATCCAAGACTAGCTATGTAAGACGTACAACAGGTATACCCATGGTATTCATTAAGAAACCTGAGCCAACAGAAAGTGCCACAGCTTCTGCAATGCCAATGCCAGCAGCTAGTGCTAAAGAAGTTGATACTGAAGGAAGGAATATCTTGCTCTGGTGGTCAGCCACAAAATCTCAACAAACAGCAATGGAACAACAGCCTTCATTGGATAGATGAACAAGACAATTCAGCAAATATATTCTTGAAATTTCAATCACAATACCTTGGTAAATTTGGTTAGATTCATCATCACTCTTGGCAACCAATGCCTGCTCTTCAGCGACAAATGATGTTGTGACGTTGAGCAAAGGAACGTTAAACAATTTTGACACCAGATTGACTACTGAAACTGATACACCTATGGCTGCCAATTCAACCGATCCTACACAACAAAGAGCAAGAAAGTTCAAAGCTCATTTAAACTAACTGAGATTTAGGCCCCGTTTGGGGACTTACCTTTTTAGTCAATTAGTCAAAAAGTTACTAAATTAGCCAAAAAACCAACAACTCATACCAAAAAATTAAATATTCTCTTTTCTCTCTACTTTTTGCACATCTTTTCGTAATTAGCCAAAAAGTCATCCCAAACATACAAGTTTTTTTTACCTACCTTTTTAGCCAAATAGCCAAAAAATTACTAAGGCCTCGTTTGGGAACAGGCTAATTTAGTAACTTTTTGGCTATTTGGCTAAAAAGGTAGGTAAAAAAAACTTGTATGTTTGGGATGACTTTTTGGCTAATTACGAAAAGATGTGCAAAAAGTAGAGAGAAAAGAGAATCTTTGACTTTTTGGTATGGGTTGTTGGCTTTTTGGCTAATTTAGTAACTTTTTGGCTAATTAGCTAAAATAGCCTCTTGCCAAACGAGGCCTAAATTAGCCTATTCCAAAATGAGGCCTTAATACCAAAAAAGCAACAATCTTTCTTGTAAAACTTGAGCTACTCATCATCTACATCAACATCTATAATGTTCAGCATTGTCCAACCATAATGATGCTATAAACTAGAAATTTTATAAATTGGAACATGAATTACAATAAGAGCAACCATAAAAAAAATCCAATTGAGTATTACCCAAATGTCCAACAAATGCGGTATCGACCAGCGAAGCAATTGGGTCAGCAGCAAGAGCCAATGCAGCTGGCAATGCAATAGACAAAATTTCCAATCCAAGCGCATCCACCTTAAACCCATCTCTAAAAAGTCCAACAAAAACTCATTAACATCAAACAAAGCTCAATTAAATGTCCATTACTGTACAGAAAAATGTACCTTAAGCGACGAAGAAGAGGAGAAGCTAAATTCAGCGACGATGAATCCGAAGACGGGTTTGGGTCCGGAATCTCAATTGGGGTTATGGGTTTTTGAGGAGTGGTAGGGCTGTCACGAGGTGATGATTTGGGCACTGTTCGAAGACGAACAGAGCAATTAGAGTTTTGAAAGAGAAGTGAAGATTTGGTAGGTTGGTTGGATGAGTAGCAGAGACACTGGAATTGATGACGCAGAGACTGAATGCAGAATAGGCGATGAGAGAGGACACTCGCCATCGTCAATTCCTACAGAAAAAGAGAGAGAGAGAAAGAGAGAAACCCCGGGAACCATGTATTGGGTCGTCGTATCGTATCTATAAGCTATATCAACTGATTTTAACGGTTAGAATGAAAGTTTCAAAAACAAATATCTCTATTTTGTGGGGAATTGTATCCTAAATTATGTTAATTTTTTTTATTTATAAATTGATTTTAATTATAATTTATGAAAGTTTTAAATTATTTTGTTATAATTATTAAATTTTAATTATAACTCGACAAATATAAAATTATATATATTTTTTTTATTATAAACCAAAGTGTACCTATGTACCACGTGTAGTAGTGCCTTGAGGTCATGTTTGATTCACAAGATTAATAGTGAAGTATTGATAGTCTTATTAAATTAGTGTGGTATTTACTATCCAATTAGATTAATATTTATTGGATTAATAATCTCACCCCTACCCCATTACTAATAATCTTACAAATTTGTTGGATTAATTATCCATTGGATTAATAATCCTAAACCAAAATGTTAAAACAAACATAGGATAATTAGACCCACGGATTAATAATCACAATCCCATACTCTAATCCACCCAATCAAACGTGCCCTGAATGCACTTACCATTGAGTCTAGTTGGACCACAAGGGTGTGGACTAGCTTTTGGTTTGGGTGGGCTGATTGAGCCCATGACATCCAAAAAAAAATGAGAAAATTATTATGTAATCTTATATAAAGGATCTATTTTCCTTCTAATCTTATTATATTTTTAAGTATAAATTACATTAACACTTTTGAGATTTGGTCCAATTACTACTTACTTCTTGATGTTTTAAAAATTACATTTACACTCCTATGGTCAATAGTTTCATTTCACAAACCCCCTGCTTATATAAAAGTTAATAACCTCTAGTAGAAAAATAGAAGAAATTACATTTAAAAAAAAAAGTAAAGGAAAGGGGAAAAAAAAAAGAAAGTAAAGCAAAACAAAAAAAAAATAGTGTATGAGTTCAATATCTTTAATCCGTCTAAATAATTATAATGACGAAGGGGGGGTTAGTGTAATTTTCCAAATGTCAGGAGGTAATATGTATTAAACATAAACCTCAGGGGGTGTAAGTGTAATTTATCCTATTTTTAATAGACTAATAGGTTCACAATTTTTTAAGTTTTGTATCTGGAGGTTCTGTTTTTTATTTTCTTATTTTTTAAATGACTGTATTACCCTTTGATTTGAGATATATATGTGTGTGTGTGTGTGTGTGTGTGTGTGAAAAATCAAATATTAGATTGTGGATCTCGTCTATGCGAGGTTGTCTGTGATCTCGATCTCTCTCTGTGAGGTCGATCTCTTTATGCGATCTGAATCTCTGTGTATAAGCAATCTCTGCGTACGCTCTGTGTATGTGTGTGTCTGTGTCTGTGTCTGTGTCTCTCTCTGTCTCTATCTCTCGATACATATATGTATATATATATATGATCTCTGGTTTGTGTTCGTCAATGTTGTTGTAATTCTTTATTTTGTGATAAACTTTATTTGTTTGATACTTATTTTGTAATTTTTGTATGTGATATAGTGTAATGATTTTGATTTTTTTTATTTTGTTTGTTGTATAGTGTAATGTGTTTTGAATTTGCAGTTTGGAATTGTGAATTTTGAAGTTTTGATACTGAATGTTGTAACTGTATAATTTTGCAAATTGGAATATATGACCAATTGTTTGCTGGTTTGTAATTTGTAATATGGAGGAGTGTTTCATGTTAATGTGCAAATACAGTAAGTCTTGTGCTGCTATTAAGATTAGTAAGGGATGTAGTTATCATGAAGTTGTTAAGAAAATATGTGCAAAGTTCAAAAAGTTGAGTGTTGGTAATTGTTGTTTGTTTTTCTCTATTCCTGGATATTCTAATTGTATTGTTGAATGTGATGATGATTTAGGGAATATGATGTCAATGGTAGCTTCTAGTGGTTCTCATGTTGTTGGGGTGATAGGAGAATTGTGGATTTTGATGATAATTTTTCTAGGATTGATTCTGTAATTTGTGAGAGTTCTTTGGTTAACGATTGTGATATTTTGGTGGTTTGTTGCCTAGTTTTTATCTAGAACCAAAGAGAGTTTTGTTGTCTGCTAGTTGGAAGGGGATTATACACAGTGTTGGTCAAGAATTTGACGGTGGAGTGTCGATGTTCCACATTGTTTTGGTAAGTATGCAGTTGAGTGTAGTTTTGCAGTGAATTATTTGACGAATAATGTAACAAGAGTAACTATTGAATATATGATGAAGTTGTCTACGAGTTGTAAATGGTTTGTGCATGGAAGGATGTTGATGAATTCTAGTATTTTTTATTATTATGAAGTTGGATAATGTGCATATTTGTGGGGTTGTTGCTCGTAGATCTTATAGCAAAATGGTTGGTTCTAGACTTGTCTCTGATATTGTGTATAATGATATTAGTGATAATCCATTAAAAAAAAGTTGAAGAAGCAATATGGTATAGATGTTTCTTATCGAGTTGCATGGTTAGGAGTTGATAAGGCAAGAGATGGGTTGTTTAGTGATTTTGCATCATCTTTTGACCAACTTTGATAATACCTTGAGACGGGTATGAGAACGAATCCCAGAAGTGTGTTTGAATTAAATCTGGATGAAAGTAGTAGGTGTTTTCGAAGGTTGTTTGTGACATTTTCATAGATGTTTGTATGGCTTTCAATTTTGTCGTCCGTTGTTGTTTGTTGATGGTACATTCTTAGAGGGATGTTACAAGGGGCATTTGCTTGCAGCAACATCAAACGATGGTAATCAAAGTATATATTTATTTGCAGTTAGTATAGTTTTGGTTTGTCAATGTGTTTTGGTAGTCGGTGGATTTTGGTTTCTGTTATTGTATTGTGAGTTTGCTAATTTTTGCAGTTTCATGTTTTTTTTTTTCAAGCTTATTTCATTTAGCTTTTACAATTGTTGACGCTGAAAATCAAGAAAATTGGATGTGGTTTTTAAGTCAATTGTTGAAAGCTGTTGGTTCAGTCCGGAGATTAACCTTTATGTCCGACCATCAACATGGGTTGCCAGACGCTCTTTCCGTGGTTTTTCCCAATGCACATCATGTATATTGCTTGAACCATTTGAAAATAAATTTTATTGACAAATTGATGGAACTTCATACTAACTATAAACTGACTTTGATGAAAATATTAGTTAAATGTGCTTATGCGCCAACTATTGTTTCTTTCCAACATTATATGGAGAAGTCGAGGCATATTGCTAGGAATGGTAAAGTTGATAGTATGTTGGATGGTTTACAAAATGATAAGTGGACGAATACATTTTTTAAATGGAAACGATATGGTAAGATGTCATCTAATGCTACCGAGCCTTACAATAATTGGATTGGTGGGGCCTTTGAGTTGCCTATTACTTGTATGGTTGATATGATTAAGGTTCAAATCATGACTTAATTGTCTAATAGAAAAGTTGAATCTAAAAGATGGACTACCAAATTGTATCTAGTTATGGAAAATAAGTTAGTGGACTCTTTGAAGCTAACTAAGTCTTGGGATGTGATTGTTGCTAGTGATACTGTGCTTGAAGTTCATTCTTCTATTTCTTTTTATGTTGATATTGGTAGACGAACTTGTTCTTGTCATGAATGGCAATTGAATGGTTATCCTTGTTGTCATGTTGCGCATGCTTTGCATAGTAGTAGTAGAGATGTGTATGAATTCATTAATCCTTTTTTTCGTGTGGATTGTTTTAGAGAGTCGTACAAGGAATCTGTTTATTCAGTGCCTTCAAGTAAGAGATTTGACTTTAATGGTGCCGATAGTTCGATTATCAAACCTCCTATAACGAAGAAGCAGCCCGAGCGAAATAAGAAGAAGAGGATACCTTCTAGGGGTAAGATTGTAAAGCAAACCAAGTGTGGAAGGTGCTTGATATATGGGAATCATAATAAAAAGACGTGCAAGACTGTTATTTGAGGCCATAGTCTATTCTTTGGATTTGTATTTGAAGTTGAGGAATTATGATAATAAAATGTGATACTTGGTATTATGGAAGTAATGAATAAAGTGGTTTTTTTTTTTTTTTTTTTTTTTTGTTTTTTTTTTTTTTTTTAGGTTTTTTTTTAATTTTTTTTTTTTTTTTTTTTTTTTGTGGAGTTGGTTGGTTTTATTTTTTTGAATGTTGATAAAGTTTTTGAAAATTTCTTAATGAAACTGTATAATCTTGTAGTTTTATTACATGACATATTTATTTAATGTTTCGTAGTGACAAAACTGTATAATTTTATAGTTTCATTTACAATTTTGAAATATAGTTCATCTATTTGTTTGAATCATGAAATTGGATAATTTTTCAGTTTCAAGAATTATGTAGAAAATACATATTATAATGTGTGGAAGGCAATTCACGATAATGAAACTGCATAATTGTGTAGTATAATTTTTGTTTGAGTGATGAAACTGCATCATTTTGTAGTTTTAGAAATTATGAAAAATAACCTCATGAAATAACATAATTTTGCAGTTTTAAGAATTATTAAAAACAACTAGTCCTATATGAATTTATATGCAACCACAAACGTAACGACAATAATAACCACAAGAACACAAACAAAAATAATAACTACATGAAGAAGAACAACAACAAGAATAATAACAACAACAAGAGTAACAACAACATCAATGACAAGTGACAACAACCATTAGCACCATGATAACCACAAGAAGATCAATTACCAAAAGCAAAAAAATTACTTGTCATACATAAAAATAAAAAATAAAAAATAAAAAATAAAAAAGTACAAAAATATGTTCACATGAGTATTTGTATTGTAAAGAAGTTTGTTCATTATTTCTATGGTTTGGTATGTTTTGTCAACATTTGATAGTGTTCGAGGTTTCAAGATCGATTCTTATCATTGAGGAATTGATTGATGATTTCTACTCGAAATTTCGAAGTGATTTCTGCATAGGTTGTCAGTTGATATATTGGTTGATAACATTACAGACGGCGATTACACAATCATTCTTGCAAAGTTTTAGACGAAGTGAATTAGTTAGGTAAAACTGAAAAATTTAG